TCGAAAATGAAACAGAGATAGAAGCTGAGGGTATGGACACATCTCAAAATGGAGACCCCCATTTTTTACCCCTGACCCTGAGATTTGGGTTGCACCACTCATCATTACCGGTGCGCGCTCGCCTCACCCCAGAGGCCATGTCCGGCAAGGCTGCAATCCTCACTGCTTGTTGGAATTTCCCACAGCTGAAATCCCAATGTTTGCCGGGCAACCCTACCAGTAGATACCAGTAGCTACCAGTAAGGGTTTTGTGGAGCAAACTGAGAGCCCAGCAGGGACGAGTCCAAGCCCAACCTGAGCCATCCCATGAATGTCCCAGATAACGTACGACTTGGATTCCCTGAAATCATTCTCCCACCAGGCGTTGCTATAGCCACAACTAAAACCATCGAAAGTCCAACCTTTCATTCTTGGTTCTATCCACATGGCATCCAAATTCCATCACAAATAGTCAGAAACAAGAAAATTCGTGAAAATGCGAGCGAGTTTCCAGCAAGATGATAGCCCATTAATTTCTAGCTTAAGTTGCTCCAAAATCCACCCCATATTCCCTGTCAAAAGCGGCTGCACCTCTGTCCAAGCAATGAAAGCATGGTCACATGCTGCTGCATCTGCCAAGGCTTAAGAACGAAACGCATGGGGCAGAATTGGGTGCCCCCAAACTGGGATGGTTTGTGGGCTCTCTAAGACTCTAACATCCCAATTAAGATCAGGCGATCAGGCTTTTGTGCCCAAAACTCGGGTTCAACCGGCCAAAAATTATATGGTGAATTTGGGTATGGAGCCGGGCCGAAAATTGGAGGGTTTACCACGAGATTAGAGATGATTAGAGTCTTTAGAGAGTGCCAAAATCTGTGGCTTTTTCTGGGCCTAAGTCTTGATGCATACCCAAAATCATCCCGACGAGCGCTGCCAGCGCTGCCTCGCAGTGGCTGAGTTGGCCATCCCGTAGCTGAGCGCAACTTTGAGCTTCGGCAGCACGGCACAGTTCCAAATCCTGGAGATGGAGATGGAGCAGATGGATCTGGTGAGGATTTCATGGGGATTCACTATATTAGTAATGGAATGTAATATATATATATATATGTATACACAATCATATATTATATACATAATTATACATAATTATACACAATCATACATTATATACATAATTATACATAATTATACATATAATGTTGTACAAAGTTATATATATATATATATAATAGGCTGTTAATGTGACTTCACAAAATCAATGGATTGGTTGAAGCGAAAGATTACAGACAATGCCCTATATTTGATGATAAAAACCATTGTTTCCGGCTAAGATTTTCCCTTCAACCAATAGAGTGAATGATACTTCCAAGAAGAAATGTCCGATCCAATGGACTCCCAATACATGGATTCCCACTGGGTGATGCTATGTGAGCTTTGGCTTTCTTGGGGATTGTGGCACCCAAGTTGGCAACTGGCTAAAAACAAGAACAACCGTGGGATCAGCGTATAAATGGGATGGTCACCCCGATACCTATCTATACACATGTATGTATGTATGTATGTATGTATGTATGTATGTATGTATGTATGTATGTATGTATGTATGTATGTATGTATGTATGTATGTATGTATGTATGTATGTATGTATGTATGTATGTATGTATGTATGTATGTATGTATGTATGTATGTATGTATGTATGTATGTATGTATGTATGTATGTATGTATGTATGTATGTATGTCAGACTCATGTTTATATAAATCATATAAGTTTATCTAGGTCAATTATGAATAAGTATAAGTCATTTCTAGCTGGAAGAATTGGAATAAACATAGAGAAACCCCCTTCTCTGTGCGTTTTGACGGGTTATTCTGGCGCCTGGCGCAGCGCGATGACCTCCTGATTGAAGCGATCTCGCGCTGCCTCGATGTTGGGTTTTGGGTGTCATATCTATACATGATTATACATGTATACACTATGTGTGTAAAAATAAATATTATATATATAGATATTGTGTGTGTACTCACTCAGCGGGTTTCCTCAAAAAAAAATGTACTGTTTGTCATTGGGTCCGCACGCGTGCTGGGATCGCAAAAAAAATGAAGTGTAGAGATGGCAAATTATGGTGAATTGAAGTGAATTGGGAATGAATTAGGGGCCAGTGGGAAGGGATTGAATCTTTCAGCACGTCCTGATGCTATCTTCCCCAATCCCTGGCCTGTGCATCAGGATTGAGGCGGCGTGCCTCAAAGTACACCACCGCATTCTCGAGCAAAACAAACGCCATCATAAATCGAAGAAATCCATAGAAATCCTGGATCTGTGTTGTTGTCCGTTTCATATGCTTCATTCTCTCAAAATTGGCTCGTTTGCTTTGCATCCAATTGAGCCTCATTGATGGCCTCTGGGAGGTCTCAGTAAATTCGTTGGTCAAGTTTCCTATGTGCACAAACTATGTATGTCTACACAGAACCAGCAAAGTTACCTGAACATTGCAGTCAACGGTCCTGCATGGAACTACGTCCCCAGGCAGAAAAAGTTACCCCAACTTCGCCCATAAGATGCGATCGAAAACATCGAACATTTAAAACATCTCAGTACCAACCAAGACATCATCAAAACATCAGGTGTTCCACATGTTCCACCCCCCATAGCCCCCCATAGCTTCATAGTGGCCACCCCTCCCGGAGTCTTCCAGCCTTCGGTGGCCGGCCGCAGGGAACCAGAGCTGTCTGCGTTACCTGATGGCAGCTGCCTTTATCGAGGGATTCGTCATCATGGACATAGGATATGTAAAACGATAAGATAAAATACAAACAATAAACGTCTCAAGAAAAAACATTATATAATCAAGATCAAGGCAGTACTATTGTATAAGATGTATAAGATGTGTAAGACAAGCAAATTAAGTTCTTGCATTGCAATGCATAGTGCTGCATAGCTGTTCTCTCTATATTGGAAAATTGGAAAGATGCCCAGCCGTCGAAATCCGATGATCCCAGGGGGGCACTGAGGTTCAAACGGCAGGAAATGAGGGTCCTTGGTGTGACAGCTTGCTGAAAAAACCCATGAAAATCATCGATGATCAAAGGATCACTAGACTTGGAAAAGGCATGTGTATCATGTGTGAAGCATTGTGAAACCACGAAGCAGTTGAGTTTGTAAATGTTTGTAATGGTTTGCACGTCAGCCGATATCATCCACCATTCAGAAATCAACCCCTTCCAATGATGTGCTTCACAACAGATTCTCCCACCAATGAGGGTGTGAGGACTCACACAGTTGATAATGTCATATACTGTGTATGTATATATATATTATATATGAGCGATTGTGAAAACCCTAGGTTCACGGAAAAGACATCCACAAATTTGGGAAGGTCCCATCGCTTACCACACGTTTGTACAATAATGATATATGGTAAACTTGGGGGGTATCGCTTGCAGGAAGCTGCTGCATTTATATATATATATATGTGATGAACCATGAATAATATGTGATATTTGGGTATCGCGAATGTGGATATTAGAGAAATATGATGACATAACCTTGAAAAGGGGTATCGCTAATTTGGGAAGGTCCCATCGCTTACCTCGTGTTTTTAACAATTTCCACCAATTTCCATAAACCAATGTCCGTCGAATACATATTTAGTATTGCCGGGGTTTTTACGGTTGCTCATATAGCATCCATTTCCAGTCCCAGATGAAACGAAGAGAATCGATGTTGGAATGTTCATCGATTTAGTCTCCACATTCCGTGTAGACCATTGTGGACCCATCCCCACATTTTGTGGGCCAAGAGTCCAGCAGCCCGCCACGGCTCACATCCAATCTGGTCAGAGATGGCAAGTTTCCTGCGAGCAGTTGCTGGTAGGCTTCAGCACTTCTGCGTTTTTTTTAATGGAGTTTAGACCAGCCACATCTCAGTTCTGGCTTTGAAACATAACATTCCCAACATCAGCCACTCATAGCAGCTATCAATGTAACTCAATGTATTTCATAGCGCCGATGCCACTCCTTGAGCTCGAGCGGCCCATAATCAAGGCACCCAGGGCACCCAGAAAGGCGCCAGTGGAGACACCAGCCACCAGCAGTGCCACCTTTGGGATCGTTTTTCGGAACAGCATGGTATCTATTGGTGGGAGGGATTCAAACTTGGCTATGTCATGTTGTATCCAAAACAATATGGCTGGATCATGCTAGTTATGGGGTTAAACGGATGAAATTCATGATCATTTTCATGACATTCGAGTACATGCGTGTTTCAAAGTGACCAGCGTGATGCTAAACTCCCCAAGTGTGGATTTAACACCATTTAACACCATTTAACACCATTAAGACTGATGGCTCTAACCATTTACACACCATGGTCTTCTAGTCTAAGCATGTCTAACTCACCTCCATGGCCAGGCCGTTGAAGCAGAGCACTCAGAGTCGTTGCCCCACGACTTAGAGCCCAGCTTCGCGGTCGTGCCATGGGTTGATACAATTCATGCGGATGGTACGTACTTGGTGTATACTTATAATATCTTATAATATTGTGATGTACTGTACATATGATACATGGTCGAATAATGTCGTATACTCGAAACAAATATCAAATCACACTTGCATTGTGCCTCTCATTGTGCGTCGTTTCAATTCAAAACTCACCCGAAAAATCAAAATATGGAACCCAAACTAGGCGCATCTCATCCACCCCGGAGCTGACATTTTAACAGTGCAGACTGCAGACCGGTTCACACACCAATCCTTTTGGCGGGATCCGAATTGTTCAAACACTTTGCGAGCAGGGGAGGATCATTCTTTACCATCAACTCAACCCATAGATCACATGGACGGCTTCGGTGGATTTGACAACCACCACCCGCTTTTCGTTACAGTACTCACTCTCCCTCCCCATTTATCGTTGCTTTACATGATTTTGTTTGGTGCTGAGTATCTCCATTGTGAGCAAGATCGTCAATGTTTCCCAATATTGCTACTAAATCGAAAATAATCTACATTGTCATTAGTAGGACACCTTCATGAATTTCATTCGGCATACCAAAGTCATCCATGTATGGTATTGCCATGTATTTCCCGCCAACATACCATGGATATCCATGGATGGCTTGACTTTTGGTTCATCCATTGGGTCCCGGCGCGCTGTCCGACACCCGAGATTTCATCCTCGGCGCGCAGGATTTTTCAGCCACGCTCAGGCGGAAAAGAGCTGCGACAAGGGGAAGCCGTCGCAGCAGCCCAGGGCAATTTGCCTCACCGTTGTGCTGTTGGTGAACAGATGCTGCCAGAGCTACAGATATCCCGGATATCCAATGGATATCCCGGATATATGATCAAAAAGTTTGGGGATTCCCAGCCAGATGGTCAAGTAAGACCAGTTGTAAATGGGGCACCGTATCAGGCTGTGGAGAGATTTCGATAGATTTCAATATTGAACAGTTCTATACAATTCTAGACAATTCTAGACAGTTCCAGACAATGCCCAGCATGCCTAGCAACATCATGCAACATTTTCATCTTCATGCTTAAGTCTTGTTGCCACTTCCCCTCATGGTTGGATGCTTGGACTCAACTCGCCCTGGTCTCGATCCCAGCGACTTTTCATTGGGACAGCAATGCCCCTCTGTAATGCCCGCAGCTTTGCAGGCTGGATAGTTGGAGCACTCTGTACCTGAAACCGAAACTTCAAGAGCCGATGCGGCTTGTAGTCCTAGTGGTGGATACGCTAAGGTTCAGCTTCGAGATCCAGGTATGACATGGCGCCGTTGACTTTATGCTTGGGTTTCCCAGCACACACTTCGACTTTTGGGGAGCTACCGGCCTCCAAATCATGCGAAAAAGACTGCATGTGAAATTGTCAAAAGATCTCAAAAGACTGTAATTATTCAAATATCATTCATACATGTATTCAGCGTGTAGTGTGTGTACAGTGTATAATAATACTTGCATACATCTATAAGTTAAAGATAGTCATCCCACTTTCCTTGCTGATTCCTTCTGGTCACAAAAACCCATAGTAGTTTGGAGGACCGATCTCCCTGACAAAACACTACGAGACAAAATGGGGCACTCCAAACATATTGCATCGTTCAACATCCATGAAGTAAGATTGCCCTTCTCCCTGGCAAAAACATTGCAAACAAAATGGGTTAGCCTTTCCATCTGTGCCTTTGGTATTCCATCTCCAAATTTCAACCCAACCCTTCAACATTGTTCAACAATTTCACCACCTTTTCTAATACTTAACCCATAGATGCCATAGTTAACCCCACATGTTATTCCTTAAAGCCCCCCATTTAGAGACCCTTGGTGAAGCCGTCGCCGAGGTGCCGTTGATGCCAGGAACCACTGCCTTGGGGTTTGCCAAGTGCAGTGCCGGTAGGGCTTTCACAATACCCTCGCGATGGCAGCTGGGGGGGCCCACCATGGTGCCGGAAAACCTCAGCGACAGCTTCAAGGTGAGGAAACTTCGTGGCGCAAATTGGTTCGATCAAATATTTGCAAGAAAGCTCTATATATCTCTATATGAATGACAAAAGAACAACATGTTTGCCCGGCTTCTGTTTCCTATATGCCAAATGGAGCTTTCCAATCCATGGGGGTACCCCCAAATCATTCATTTTATCAGATGTTCCATGAAATAAACATAAATAAACCATCCAGCCATTGGGGTACCCCCATGGCTATGGAACCCCCATGGCTATGGCATTCGGCCAGGAACTCGAAGGCCACCGCCTTGAGAGATGAACTTTCATCCGTCAACAGGCCTCACGGGTACCCAGCGGCCAGGTGGTTGAAAATATCAACAGGATATGCAGTGCAGGTAGAAGTATTCCTGTATGCAGAGAGAGAGAGAGATAGAGATAGAGATAGAGAGAGAGAGATATATATATATATATGTATATATATATATATATAGGTAGATGGGTAGGTAGGTAGATAGGTAGGCAGGTAGATAGGTAGGTAGGTAGGTAGATAGGTAGGATCAAACAGACGGGTTGGATTAGATTAGATTAGATTACATTAGATTGGATCAGATTAGATCATGTTAGGTTAGGTTAGATTAGATTAGATTAGATTAGTGGATGTGGATGTAATGTAATGTAGTGTAGTGTAGTGTAATGTAATGTAATGTAAGTATGTATGTATGTCTAGGTATGTCTAGGTATGTCTAGGTATGTCTAGGTATTGATTTACAGGTTTAATTTGCATAATGTTTATATTATGTATTATATTGCACCCAAGAACAAATGACAAATAGATCAAATAGGAATAGGCGTCCAAAATGAATAGAATGACCATATGTATCCATATGTAAGCGTGTTCGCCCATTTAGTTGCCGGGTCTGAAACTGGCTCCACTTCCCAAACAAAATGGCGTCAGGTTGAAATCCTAATTTGGAGTGACAGCATCCCTATCATTCGAACTCAACAACCAGGTTCTTGCAATCTGACTGAAACCAGCATCGAGTCGATTCGAGCCAAGACACATCCTCCATCTGGCCAGTAGGTGAAATGTTTGCCTAATGGAAATTGCAGCATGGCGCTGGAAGGGGCTGGGTTTCATCACCTGAACCATTCGTTGAAGTTGGCGCCCATCTAAAGTTTAGGTGGCAATGTCCCCATGTCATCCCATGTCTAGGTATATGGATATATGACATATATATATATATATTATATTATATATATGGATCATATCATCACCCGGATTGTCGGTTGTCTCTTGGGTTGGAATTTGGAATTTGTGGCATTCAACCATTCGACTTTCCGTGAAGTTGTTTTGCTGCTTGAGAGGGATTCAAACATACTCAAACAATGGGCTATGACAATTGGCCATCAAACCTGACCAGCATGAAAAACTGCATCCTCTAAGATGAAGGTTTGAACCCATCATAGCCATCGTAGCCATCATAGCCATCATAGCCCGTATCATCATACCATCCACAGTTGGTTGACAGGATGCAGCCCTTGACGCTGGCACAGTGTCTCTGGCAGTCTGCCGCACTGGCGAACTCACTTCGATCCGTGCTCAGCATCCTGCGCGGGGTACCACAGTGTACCATGGCAGAAAGAAACAAAAAACATTGGAAAACAAAGAAAGAAACCAAAAATATCACATATATTCAAATATAACTTCGTTGATACATTGGTATTGATAATGCTTGAAGATGTTGGTTCTCACGGAGGATCTTAAGCAGTAGGTCAATGATTGTGCAACATGGCGCTACCCGGTGCCGGTCATGTGAGGATCTGCGTAGTACATGCCCTGCATAAAGCCTTGGTCGGAACTGATGCCATTGGAAACTGAGGGATTTTACCGAGTTTCCACCAGTTGATGGGAAAGCTATGCCGATGCTACCGACTGTTTCTGCGGGAAGTTGTTTTTCCGATCCTTTTGGGGACACGGATATTGCCTGGACAAGTACCTCTACCAAGAATATTGAGACATATTGAGACCAAACTTTAATACAGATATCTCAGATATCTCCCAAATAAAATCGTTCAACTGTGAAAAAGGATGGTTCAGTGCCAATACCTTTGAGATTACAATTCAGCACCCATACCAATACTTCATCAAAATATCTCAAAATCATATGAATCACATGGTTTGGCACCAAAAATGGCCCCAGGTCTCCTTTTGTTCCCTCTCCCAGTGGCCAAGTCACATCCCTCCACCAACTCAACGAGATCCCGTGGACTACTTCTGAGTCCATGGCGACCTGCGCTCGTGGCGGACGATGCTGCGAAAGATGGGGGGTCCGGACGGGCCCGGACGGGTCCGAGATGGTCCGAGGCCGGCCTCGTGACAGGAGGGCTACCAGCATCAGGCAACAGCAGCCTAGTAGCAATGCCACATTGCCTCAAGATGCTGAGAATGTCCGTGGGATTGGAAACCAAATCCACACCGGAACACCTCAAAAACAGGCATAGGCATCAGACTACAAATAAAACAATGAAAACGATTTACGCGATGTCTAATGATTTATACAAAATTCCATAAATTTCCTAGTTCATCCCAGTTCCATATGTTGCCGTGGCACGAGAGAACCAAGGCTGCGTGACCCTTCTGTCGCCCTCGCCGCCCTCGCCCTCTGTGTCAGAGCCCACTCGGGGTGACAGCAGCATGGCCGCTGGCTGCCGTTGGAGCCGGCAACGCTGCGGGGCGATGGCAACAACATTGCTCGGAAGAAAACAAGTAGTTGAAACATGTTGAAACTCAAGTAATAAACGTGATAAAGGCATCAAAAATATCAAAAGCGATCTTGAGGATGACTTCAGGAATGATTTCACATTGACCGTCATCGGTTGGGCTTCTGGCTCAATTCCGGCCACATATGTAAAGGTGTTTACTATAGGTGGGCCAGGTGTGAATGGTAGATGACAGAAGAAAGACATCCAACAACAACATCCCAACCTGAGAAAAGAACTATGTATTTCACAAGAGATGTGAAAAACTGACAAAAAATGACAAAAATGTGGTCACCAAAGATATTGCTACTGTTCTGACCTTGTTCGGCCCGAGTTTGATGATTAGGTCACCAAGCTCACCTGTCCTGTGGCACAGCTCTTTTCGCCAGTGAAACTGCGAGTCAGCCGAGCTGTTTCACAGCTGGGCAAGCTTTGAGGAAAAGTGTGGTCATGCTGCGCACGCGGATGACACGACACTGAGCCGTTTCTTCATTCACTTCAATGAGTCATCTATAGTCATCTCATCAGAAAGCCCAATTAAGATAACTTGTGATCAATTCAGCGATACAGAAACGGAGCAGCAGAGCCGCTGGTGATCCCACAGCAGAGACACCCAAATGACTGGAAAGAAAAAAAGAAAGCACATCTTCCAGTGACCCACCATCAAAATGTTCCCGGGATAGTTACATAGATACTGTATGTTCCTGTCCGACATTTCGATGCTTGTTGGGATGAATGTTGGTAAATAGTATGTATGATAACATATACACCCATTACACCCATTACACCCATTACACCCATTACACCCATTACACCCATATACATTCATATTTGAATAATCTGGATCCTCAAGTTCTGAAATGATGGATCTTACCAGGGCATTTTCCATAATTTTCCTCTTCCCCCTCTTCCCCGGTCGTTCGGATTCCCAACAGCGGCGCACTTTGGCACAACTTCACAGAACTCTCAGATTGGTCTTGGGAATGGTGTTAAACACCGAGCGTGAAGGATGAGACTCTTTCTGCGAGATGGTGGAGTCATGGTCACGTGGAGATCATGGAGTCGTTGGGGAGAACGTGGGGAGATCGGTTTTACCCAATATTTATCTGCAGAAATAAATTGAATCATATGTTTGCACCACAGTGTATGGGTAGTTGGGCAGATGAAATCACAACAAAATGTACATCACTGAGGCACAAGAGTAAGTATATTCGTCAAATTACGGCAGGTCTATGTGATATCTTACCCATACATGCACTGGTTGGTGTTTCGAACCCATCCGCAAAAATGTCTGTGTATCTGTGTGTCATTTGAATTTGGACGAATCACATGAATCACCGCATACGAAAAGAATCTTAAAGATTCCAAAAGCACTAACCAGCTGATGATCTGGGTCAGCTAGTCCGGTTGCAGGGATTTCCTGTGCTTACCCTTGTCACATGGGTGGCCACTGCACATTAAATCCATCTCGGTCACCGTTGAGTTCGGCAAAAATCGTCTGCAAACACAAGGGGTGGATGATATCCCTGGCATATCCTGGCATCATCTATTGTATGTCTGGCTCATTCTGGCTCCAAATACATCGGAGGAGGTACATCACTGTTGTTGCTGATATTTCTTCACTGTGGCCCTTTCTATGGATCAAGTCACCTCCTTGACTCAGCTTATGAACCAACATGAACCAACGCAGCCCCAGCTGGTTGGTGGCCACCTCATGCGCTTCATCAGGGTGGAAAAATAACCTTTCAACACTTCAAACCATCCACCCGGCTAGAACTATGGCATCCTCATTTTGTCTCATTGTCTTTTCTGTCTCATTCTGTTTGTTCAAAACTTCCTCTTTCAACCAGCCCAGTTGCTCCTTAGCCACCCTCCGTTCCCGAGAGAATCCCAGCGCACCGCGTCCACCCGGGCAGTGCCACCGAAGTTTTCGATCAACCTGGGCTTCCCATGCGGCAGGGGATGCCTCATGATGCCTCCATTTTCTGGGTCACTGGGGGAGACCGGCGTAACACCGGGATACCCATAAATCGCTACTTTCAAAAAGGGAATGTGATGATCATGATATGTCATGACAATGATAATCCATTGGGTTGGGGTATCCTATTTTCACCCACGCAAAGTGGCCTATTTGCTGGAAAGCCAGGCAGAGGCAGTGGGCAATTCTCCATGTGTATACGCTTTTCTAATTGAGCATATTTGATATATTTACATATATTTGAACATGGAGATTTTCCAGCATCAGTACATATCAGTACGGTAACTCTCCTGATCCTCCCAGGCCCCCCGACTTCTTGAGACTTTCCTCATTGGTCTCTCGCACGGGTCGCATCGCACGACCTCGCAACACCGTGACTGCACAAGCTGGGCGGGTGGCGATGGGAGAGCGGGACATCACCAAAAACAATGGAGGGATGAGTAGTATATTGCCAGCAAGAATGGGGATACAAAACAAGTCAGAATGAGTCTGTCCTTTGGGAAGAGGCTCTAAGAGGCTCTAAAACTCTACATGTGTCCCTCACCCAATGGCCCAACATCGACCAACTCTGGCTGACCTGATGCCGGATATTGCGCTCTCTCCTGAAGGCGGGGACCGGGACAACTGATTCCCCGAAGTTCCGCCTTGCATTTGTGTGATTCACAGGTCGGGATGGCTAGTGAAATTGATAGAAAATGATAGAAATATATAGAAATAGCTAAGTCATGAAGAGTCATTGTGTTTGGTGAAGCTAAATCTGCGGTGTCCGATTACGCCTGTATTTGGGCACTCAAGTTAGCAAGTTTGGGGACCAGCAACTTCCCGACATCTTTGTGGTTCTCCCAAGAATCTGTGCTCGTTCACACTGTTGGCAATGTGTCATTTTTATCTGAAAATTGGTCTTTATCAGACAGGACAACTAATATGAGATTCAATTCGTTAGATTCGATTGCATTATGTTACATGTTGATTCTATAGACTATGAGACTATAGATCTTTTATGATCTTTTGTACTGCCTGGTTGGTTGCTTTCCAGGAGTTTTGTGAAATCAGAGTGAACAAAAAATAAAACTAAAATCCACTGTGAAGATCAGACCACCCTCTGTCCTTGTCTTTGATGAAAGGACCACGGCCAGGAGGCTCGCGCCTGTGAGTGGAAAACACTGCAGCGTCGCTCTTCATCTTTTGGGGGGATGTCTCTGGTATCTCTAGATATCTGAGGGTTCTCAGTATGGCCCAAGCATCAATAGATCTGATTCAGTCTTAGTGTTAAACCATCCAATGTGGCGGTTGAATCGTTCCGGCCGTTCCGGTCTCAAAATGTTGGACCATTTGGGCAGTAGACATATGTCCAAAAGAAAACAGGTGTATGTTTCAATACACATGTGTATGTGTAAACAGGCAGGTCGTGAGTTAACGGCCCCAAAATGAGTTTACACCCGTGCAGCAAATGTGGTCGCACCAGACATGGTCGCATTCATCCAACTTGGCCATCTGTGTGTCAATTTTCATGAAGCCAACTCCATCCAAGTCCTAAATCAAACTAATCAAACTCAGTCCTATACATTTCAGGGCATCATTCCCGGGGTGTCAACAGTTCAAACCTAGGAAGCCACGACATCTTCCCTAATTCAGTCGACCATCCCATGTTCCACTCGCCGCACCGCCGCATGGTGAGGCTCATGGGGTTCACCTGACTGACCTGGAGTTGGCTGGGATGATAAAATGGGTGAAACCATCAGGTGATGAGCTTGACACATCATTGACATCGGGAAACCATATAGTTGTTCCCATATGTTCCCATCAAATATGAGCATTTCATTGGATGGTTTCCCTTGAACCATTCCTCGCGTTTGGATCCGGATTGATCATCCCAGTCATGTTGGAACAGGAAATCAACCACTGAAGCACGCTGACGGCTACCATTTGTTGCACTACATCCGCATCATCGACTGGCGGATGCACCTCGTCCCAGAAACTGACCGAAAAAAACCGCCCACCGACGGCACAAAAAAATCCTTTGCCTGCAACTTTTGGCTGGTTTCATAGTGGACCTCCTCACACCTTGGAGCTCGGCACATGGAGCTGGCCATCTCCTCTAGTCCGGAGAGTTGCAAAGACAAAAGTCAAGGATCTCAAGATTGAAACACCATGAAACACCCAACTGTTTGAAAATTCCATTGTTTTGTGCTGGTCACATCTCTTGTGAATGCCCACATGCTGGGTCCGCGATTTCAATCATCCACGTCACGACAAATTCCCCCATCAAATTTGGATTTCATCCCCCAACCAATAATCAGCATTTCTATGGATATAAGCATTTTCGCGGGTGAAGTCCCACAATTCCCCACACTTTCTGGTTGATAACTAATCATGACCATGTTTAGGATACCCGCCAAGCAACATCTCTTGATCAGCCTCAAAACATGGTCATGATATGGGGCTATGGTCATCCTACCATCCTTAGGGATTCCTGGAAGTATGGGCACATAAACCCAAAACAGATGGGGGTATGAGTGTATGACCATCCCCTTGTTTAATGGGAAAATGATAACCATTATGTTTTGACAAAATGGCACATGCATATGTGCCTAAGTATTGATGGGTAAATACCATCTATGTAATGTAATGTAATACATATTATAATATATATATATATATACACACAGGAACTTCCCGCTGCTCAGATTTCTAGGTGCCCCTTACTGCCGATCCTCAGTGATCATCCGGCCAGCCGCCTGCGCCGCGCATATGTCTGCCACGGAAGATCTCTGAATAAAAAAGCAGGACCGGTATGATTCCATATGTCATATCTATAGATTGATGATCTATTACATTCTATTACTATATAAATCTATATACGATTATTATATATGATGTATATTGCCAATATTGCCTATTGCTTATATAATATTATAATCAATATATTTGTTGTTTCCTGATCTGTGGATTCCAGATGATTCTTAAAAAAAATCTTCACGCACCCCCTTTCGCACCCGCACGGCGAGCCGTGCGCCGCGTGGCGAGAGCACCTCGCCCACGCTTTGCACACCGGTGAGCTGCGTTTCGCAATGGTTTTTTTTATAGCTCAGGAAGGTTAGAACATGGTTATAGTTATAACTTTACATGGTGAAAACCTGGTTGTAAGCTAGTTATATCAGTTATATCACAAATGTTATGACTAACATGGGTATAACATGGGTATATCCCTCGATCACAATTGATCATCTCTTTGGTTGGGAAAAAACCGGGGCTCTTAGGTCCCTAAGCAGAAGAATCTGCAAAACTCGTCGGATTTCCTCTTGCCGTTGAGTATGAACCAGCCACCGAAAGTGTTGCGTGACCAACTGTTCCAGACTATTCAGTGGCCTATCCACACTCTGTTTATTGTCCCTGATATTGATCCTCCCATCCCGCATCCATCCGATCAAGCCACCAACGGTTTTCTTGGGGATTGCAGGGCTCGCTCCTGCAGAAAAAAACTGTAGGGGGCGGTTTCGGGAATGCGGAATGCCCCACTTCTTCTGATACTCAAAAATTTGGCCAGTTGGTTTCGAAAAAAATGTCTATGTTCTTTTTAAAAAAATCAAGAACCGGAAAAACTTGATTTTGGAGGTTAAGAAAAACAAGAGACCATTCTCCATCAGTTGCAGCTTTCGGAACTCCACCTTGGCCGCCAGCCATACTTGCACCGCATCCGGCTTGGGCGAGGCTGATCTGCGCATTGGAAGGGGTTGTGATGTCCAACATGGTTTTCCCAGATTCAAAAACAAACCAAGGCCCATCATTGACTGCGTTGAATTGGTTGGTGGTTTCAACCCATGCACATAACATACAGACCAAACAAAAAATAAGGATATTTGCCGTATTCACCCGCATGTGCGAATTCGTGGATATTGCATGCAGCACACAAAATCCGTGGGGCCCGCAAAGGAGAACTCGGAGTGTGAAAGCAAGCAAATTCATAAAGTCTCTACTGTGCTTCAGAAACTACAGCTATTGAAAACGATTCTTACAAACATACATGATGATGAATTCTTAAACTGAAAAACTATGAAAAATGTGTGAATTTACGTTTACGTGTTCAATCATGTTTACTTATATCAACCGGCCTGCCATCACCTGCCATCTTAGCACCTGGGAATAAACTGACCCAGCTGGCCTCCCAGCATTCTGTCCACCTGAGTTCGGCGTCCACCAGGAAACCAAGCAGGTGACGGTAGATCAGTGCGTCCGCAGGTTCTCTTGCAGAAGTAAAAATCAATTTTGGCAAGAAAATATCTGAGCAATTCGTTCTCAAAATGGGCGCTCGGATATCTCATTTTGGTAGCTATGTGTTTGAGCAGCAGACCCAACATGTTTCATGGCGCAAACGATTTTGAGATGGCCAGGTTCCACGCAACCAACAAGCGCAAGGAGGGCAAAGTCAGCAGTCAATCTTCACACCCCACGCCAGCCAAATTGCCAATTTATGAGCCAATGTGCATCACAAACAAGGCTGCGCCCAGGAAGTGCAATGGCCGTGCTCGGGGTGCGGTCCGTGATGCACAACCATGAAATCGAAAACAACTTGAATTACTTGAGCGACTAGAAGTAACTAGAAGCAGTCGCAACCGACAAGTTTGGAAGCCACGGCGCCAACAAAAGTCACACATTCATGTTGGGCAAATGTGCTCAGGCAAGATGTTGTTCTGTGACATCCGAAGATCGTGCTGTCACCACTCCATCCTTCACGCACAGCTACAGTATAATCAGATATAATCAGTATATTTTACCATGTTTTACCATGGTTTCTTGCTGTGATTTGGGAAAATAAAACATGGTACTGGATGGTACTGGATGGTACTGGGTCAAATTGGCTTGGTCAATGACTCAGGGGAGACCAACGTCCCCTTTTAAATGCCTGGTGTCTTGGGGATGTTTCACTGCACCGAGTCACGTTTGGACGAAGGACCAGGAGCATCAGGCGCCACCACTGCCTGGAATTACATGGGACCCCAGGTGAATGGCAAATCACCATGAATTTATGATGGTGGTTTAATGATGTTTAATGAAATATGAGGGGTATATACAGTATACAATGGTCTATAACTCATTAACTATAACTTGACTATAGACTATAACTATAATGCATCCCATCCTAATGAACACCCCCAAGAAACAATGGTTTAGGAGACTATTTACACATGAAGGGAGCGTAAATCACAACTTCCCAGATTCAAGGATCATTGCTTCACCTGGAACGGTAATCGCAATTCATTGATCAATGGATAATCAAACGGCGATGGGAGACCACCATGTTCAATCATCCTCAATCGTCTAATGATGAAGCCTCCAGCCATGCCAACAAGGAAACGCTGTTGTATGTTGCATCACAATTTCATCATATTTTACCCCCCCCTACACCAAGGATTTGTCCGAAAATCTGGTACCCCAATTCCGTCCCATGGTTTAAAAGGGACCGCATAAATTGCAGATGAATCCATGTTGAATCGATGAGTTCACCATGTCACCATGTGAGCTACTCATTATACGAGTTGGTTGACAGGTTACGTTACTATTGGTGTTCATAATCCCGAATAAATTTGCTTTTAATTTTAAGTCTAGCAATGATAAGTCCCAACAATAACTAACATCAGTAATGATAAGTCCCAACATATTACCCTCTGGTAAACTAACATAACTATGGAAAATCACCATGTTTAATGGGAAAATCCACTATAAATGGCAATTTTCAATAGCTATGTTAAATTACCAGAGGGTAAGTCCCAACATATTATCCCATCAACCAGGCTATAGCTTTGGCTGTCACCATGTCCCTTTTCGCTTCCTCCAACTGCGCTTTGGGCATCTCCGTGCCGAGCGTTTCCTCCACGGTCGCGCCCTGGAGGTGGAACAATGGATACCACCTATGGACCTATTGATGGTCATCAGATAAGGAAAATATCGGGAAAATATCGGGAAAATCCAAAAACCAATGGATGTTTCATGGGGGTAGCCTATTTTCGGACAAAGTATGGCAAATGGATGATTTTGTTTGAAGTCAAATGGGGCTTGGGAATGAAAACACTAAACGATCTAAGCAACAACACGTGGTGGGTGTAGTAAACCATCGTTCTCTATAGAGATTTACAACTGCACACACACACACACATACCCTAGTTGAGAGACTTCCCGAAGCATAGTCACGACTTGCGGCTGTTATGTGAGACCTCTGTGCCTTGCAACTGTCACAATGTGTTTGCTGACATGAGATACACACCAGTAATTCTTTGGGATCGGATCATCTCAAGCCCGTGGTGATCCAAGATTTCATAACTGGAAAATCCAGCAAGTAGAGACTTTGTTTTTTTTGGGAAAGATAGACCTGTGGCATGCCTTGACATCAGCTCCGTATCTCATCTATAATCCTTTTTACGAGTATGATGAGTACATAAAGTCCAAGATCTACCGAGAAATCCACCTGTTCAATGTTGGTTGGATAAGTAATGACTGTATATTTCTAATATATACTAATATAATATATCTAATATTACACTGACAAGTTCGACAGGCCACAAGCCGCCGCAAACTGTGGCAAGGGCTGGTCAGCCTCCATCTTGTAGTCGCTCATGAGGTATCGTCGCATGGGGAGGACCTGGTCAAGGCTCAAGGCTCAAGGCTCAAGGCTCAGCCCTTGGAACGGCTGGGTGAAAGTGCACCAAATTTGGCTCGACTCCCGATGCTTCCAGCTATGGCTATACCAAAGTGGACCTAAAATCAAAAAAAAAACAGATTCGTTCCGCTTATTCAGGATACCCTTCAGTAAGGGAAAGGCCTGTTGTGAGCGGTGGATTTCAAGTTTTTGGGGAAGACCTCTAAGAAGAATTCCACGCTCACAACAGTAGTTCGTTCCGAATGTAAACTATCCTATAGCCTATAGCACGTCTCTTCACAAGCATGTGTCTGGCACCTCAACGCTCTGGTCTGTCTTACTTCCATCAAGATTAATCCTGATTGATCATGATTAATCCACACCAAAAAAAATCCACAACTACTCTGATCTCTGGACTAGTTGCCAAATCTTTGTTTTTGTTTTGGTTCTTTTGTTTTTTGTGTTTTTGTTTGGTTTTCTCGAGGTTTTGGTCTGATCCTGATTAATGGATTAATCATGATTAATCCTGATTAATCCAGTTCATAACGTCCTATAACATGACTCCGGCTGGTTCCGGCCTTCCTGTCCCCCAATAAGGGAAAATCAGAGGCTCAGAGACTTGCTCATGGGTTGAAGGCAATTGTGTATTTCATCTAGTTTTCTGAAGGATTTGGCACTTTTCAAAATGCCGAAAAAATTGAAACCTGATAGAGTAGACAAAGTGCACTTAGGACATAGGTTCGGCATTTTTTCACATACAATCCTCCAATATCTGTGATCCCAAGTCGTATTTTGCAACAAACGTGATATTCCGTAAAGGAAGTGTGGCCTGACTTTGTGCATTTCCGTTGAAAGATTGCAATATTTATTTGAAAAAAATGCAGTAATAGTTCGGAAAAAACATTCAATACGTATACAATTCCATACAAGTATGGAGCCTTCTGCTAACAGATTCCAACACCATTTCAAATTAAGATCCAAACACAAATGTATGTTTATATTTATTTATGTGTTTATTTATTCAGTGATCATGGCATTTTTTGAAGTGAATGGTTTTAACTATGTTTTTTTTTCCTTCAAAAAGTGCATCATCTCTTCGAAAAGGGTGCGAGATTCCCTCGGACATTAAAGCATCATTCGAAATTTCAAGATGGATTTGTTTTGTGTATATGGTGGTTTTTTTATCAAAAGAGTATGGTATTCTTTGAAGATCCTTGAAAAATGTGTGGAAAGTTGTGTTTTCTCTAGAAACGATGACCTCCTTGAGAGACGTGCAATATTCTCTTTAGACAATGAAGTTTATTCCAGAATGTATTTTTTTTACACACACACACACCACGCATATGTGTATATATATATATATATCTGTGTGTGTGTGCGTGCAGCACTCTTTCTGAAGTAATATGGGGCTCGCTTGGAGTACAAGGCATTATTTTGGGAAGTACCCTTTGCAAAAATGATGGAAACAATTGATCAAGAAGAGTGCACAACTCTTTCATATTGAATAAATGAAACAGATTCGTTAGAATAACAAGGCAACCGGTTGACTCGCCGCCCTTGTAAGGGTGACAAATTTGAACTTGAGATGTTCGAGGCTAAGAGTGTTTGTGGGACTTGTCAAAACATGTTTGCAACATAGACATTCATTTCGATTGGCAGGCGTGTGACTCAAGTGTCAAAATTTGTGTCTCGCCTACGCGGTGAATCGATTTTGTTCTCCGAGGGCCCAAAAAAACATTAGAATTTTACGGTTTTCAATGATCCCATGCAAACATTCACCCATCCATGTCTTCGTCGGCGCGATACACGTCCGCATCGAGCACGGCGTTCGCTTTGTCTAAACGAGGAGAGCTATGGAAAGTG